AAAAAAAAAAAAAAAAAAATCATAGTAAAATTAATATCTTCTCAGCTTCGCATCGAAGCTAAAATATAAAATGTACAAAGTTAATTATAAAAATATATTTGTTTTAAATATTATAGTATTAATATAATTAATATTCATTGTTTATACATATAGAACACAAAACATATGAAACATTTTGAATATTTTCGCACTATTTTACACATCAAACAAATCTAAAGCTTTTGCATAACAAGTTAACATATTCCTCAACTGTTTTTAAAAGTTTGAATAATACAGATTGATATACGTTTTATTTTTGTCAAAGTTTTAATTCATTAATTTACTTGACAATGTATCTATGGTTTCTGGCATGCAAGTAAAATGGAATTATTACGAAAATAAACTTAACAGCTAAAAAATGGCAAATTTCTATTATTTTATGTATAGATATATAATTAATAGTGTTTCTAATTTTTGAAAGCTTTCATTAAGTGCCGCCGTACTTAGTTCCTCAGTAAGTAAGTATTAAAACTCATAAAGACGGTTACGATGCTAAAAATATGAAATTAAAATGATTTTTAATAACTGAAATTTTTTTTTAGTACGTGACATTTCTGTAAAACCTTTACATATTGAAAAGTGGTCAATGAAACTTATAAAATAATGTTTATTGAGAGATGTGTCATCACCAACGCTGCCATAGGGTTGGCTTTGAACAAAAGTTAAAGGTAATGTATAAATTTTTATTTTACAATCCATTAGTATGCAGTATAAAATTTATTTTTCTATTGATATAAATGATTTATTGCAGCATGATTAATTTATATTAAACTATGGCTTTTCATGAAAAACATTTAGATGCATAATTTTTATAAAAAACACAAAATTTAATCAGTTGTATATAATAACTATTAAATTATTTCAAAACAAGAATATTATTCTATTATTAAAAAATATCATGTGTTGCTGAAAATAATTGTTTAATATCAAATGAAACTCTTAAATAAGGATATGCAAAATTGACTATGGTATCTAAAAAATTTTATTCTAGAGAAAAATAGTATAAATTTTATAGATTCATGATATCTTTACCTACCATTTGGTATATTTTTTTTTATAATTTAACCCTTTACTAGCCCACAGGGGGGGATTCAAAATAACAACTTTTTTACAAAAAATTAACTTTTTCAACTTAACTTTTGAAAGTGTTCCGGAAAGTCTGACACTTTTATATATATCTTATATATTCTTATATATATATTAGTGATGGGAAATATCGAATAGAAACTATCGAACTATTCGATAGTCATTCAAAAAATATTCGAATAGTAAAAATATTCGATAGTTACACAATATATTCGAATAGTTTTTAAACTATTCGGTTGTATAAACACAATTTGAATAGTTATACGATAGTTTAAAATATTTGAAAATACCCATTACTAATTTTTACTATTATTAATTGTATAATAATTTGTTTATAAGTATTCGTTAATTATCTTCTTATTATAATTAAGTATATTTAATAAATATTTTAGGTAAAACTAATCGAATAGTTTATGCCAAAAATAAACTATTCGGTTGTATAAAAACTATTCGTATAGTTCTTCGATAGTTTAAAATATTCGAAAATGCCCATCACTAATATATATCTCATATATATTAATATATATCTTATATATTAATGCTAATGTAATGTACTTTATTATGGCAAAAAGAAATTTGGGACTTTATTTTGTCTTCGCGATAAAAATGGATACCAAATGCTATTTTTGTATGAAAATTCTCGATTTTATTTTTTACATTTTTAACTTTATAATGCTATGACATATTGAAAAGTGTATGGATCAACATTATTTTTTTATGAGAAATAATATTTTTTAATAATCCCTTTTTCATTCTACATACTTTATCTTAATTAGGATATTAATAATGAACTAGCAGATCATGTAGCTTTTGGAATAGTCCACCAATTTTTTAAAATTAAACACTATCTAAAGATTTGCATCGAAGCGTTTTTTTTTTATAGTGATTTTAATCACTGTCAGATATCATTACACTTGACCCCACTATGCAACGCCACCACTGTGCAGGGTTTTTTTAGTTAATTTTGAATAAATAAAAATTAATAACACATGAATAATTCAATTCCGAAATCATTTTATTATGTTTTTTATTTAAAAATATTAGTTGATAAAATTTTAAGGAAGTAAGAAAGAGATAGGATGTATTTTTTTTTTTTATTATTATTAAACGGTAGAAATAATAAACTTCTATAATGAAAAAATCATATTATGTTGTATATCTATAAAGATTTGCGTGAATCATAGTTTAATAAATACCTGTAAAAAAAATTATATACATATTTTATGACTTGTATAAAGAAATAATTTATAAAAGACTAAGGTTTGATTTTAAAAAAAAATAATTTGAACAAAATATATAGTTGTCTAAATTAATTAATAATTAATAAAAATATTTAAAAAAGGAAAAGTTATAATAGTAATAAAAATAATTAAAAAAATTACCCTGTGTGTAACAATAATTAACAAAAATAATAATCTAAAATGGCTGAATTTTCAAACTTGATTTAAAATAAAGTATCTAAATATATTTTTTAGTGAATAATAAATTATTTAGATTAAAAAGTATATGTATAATATAATATTTTAATTGATAGTTGTTTGTAAATAACAAAGTAAGGAAAAACAATAAAGAAAAAAATATATTATGTATTATACCACTTAATATTAAAATCCAAAATTTCTGCACAATAAGAAAACACCATCTTTAACATGTATGTTTAATTTTGTGTCAATATGATTATTATACGAA